GGGGGGGGGGGGGGGCCGGGTTTGGGTAAGCATGCCCGGCAGGAAACAAGGAACCAGGAGCCAGGAAAGAAGCAATACTGCTCTCCCAACAGCAGCTTCATGGCTCCCAGTGCTCCATGGAGGATACAGAGCTGGCTCTCAGGATCACTGTCATAATTTATCTCTATTCTGCCCAGGAGCCAGTGGAGGGTCCAAGTCACCACAGAGTCCCAGAACCACTCATCCCTGTCCCTGCCATGGTATAATCCCCATCAAGAAGGGAGTAAAGGAAACGGAGAGAACGGTCCTGGGGAGAGAGAGGAATCAGGATTTCTCAGAAGCTGCTGGGGAAGCGCTCATGTGCCACCCACGCAGGGAGAAGACACTGCTCTGCTTCCTCCTAAACTTCCCACTCTGCCTACAAAAGGGGAAGAAATGAGTGCTCACCAGCAGCGGGTCACACGGACGGGGCCTGCACTTGGCCATCAGATGGCTCTCAGGACAAAGCTGGGGGCCTTTGGACTTTGCCCCGATTTCACTTTGGGGGAGGGGAAAGTACTGGGGGCATGTCCCTGGCATCCAGAGACCCTCAAAGGCAGTTATTTTCATCTGGGGCAGCCCTGAATACAAGCGTCAGGTGGTTCGGGTGACAGGCACAGCCACCCAGCACTGCTCTGGTGCCGGAGAGCTAGCCTGCCAGTCACCTCCTGCACCCTCCTGCTCAGAGGGCTGGGGCGGGGGCTCTCCATGTTCCAGGGGAGGAAGGAAATCTTAAAGAGTCCCGGAGGGACCTCAGAGCCGACCCTGGCTCTCAATTTCCCATGAAGTGCTTCTCAGGAAGATAGGCCAGGCTGGGTGGCTCTACCTACAAGTGGGGCTTCACACCCATCTGTCTGCTCTGCCCTCCAGCAACTTGCCTTTCGAAACAGGGGAAAGAAATGTGGCCCACTTCCTCTACCTCCTACACCAGAAGGTCTGGAGGCTGTCGGCAAGGCCTGTTTACCAACCATCGCCTCAGCCTCCTGCTCCCTGGGGCCCAGGCGGGAAGGCATGGTTTAACCTATTTCACAGATAAGGGACCTGGGCACAATGGGCCTGGGAACTACAAAGCAAACCGCCAGAATGACAGTAGGGCCGGCCATGGCCTGGCGGTGGGAGGTGCTGGAGGTGACAGTGCAGCCAGACGCTGTACCCACCTCATTGCTAGGAGGGGGTGGGGAGGGGGAGAGGTGCAGAACTGCGTGCATTTGGTTTGTCTCCCTCCCTCCACCCCCACCTCAGCCCAGGCTCTCAGGCCCACTCTTCTTGTAATCTGAGCCCACCGGGAACCTGGAGGATTCCAGACAACCAAGCCTTGGCCAGCCAGCAACCCGGGGGGCAGGAACAGAGGCCCGGTGCGCGCCCCTGTCTGTCCCCGTGTGTGTACACAGTCTTAGGTACACACACCTAGCCTGGCATATCAGGAAGTGTTAAGCTGAGAACAACCAAAGGCGTTAGGAGCCGAGCTGTGGCTATGGGGGTGGGGCGATGCGGAGATCTGGGCATAGGAGGAGCAGGGCGCTCAGAGGACAGATTTTCTTCTCCTCTGAGCCCCTTTGTTAGATCACCCCCAAAAAGCAAAGGGCTTAGCTACCAGCCAGCTGAGAGGGGAGGGCTCCCAGCTCAAGGAGGAGGGGAAAAGGGTTTCAGTCCTTATTTCTAAGGCTTATCAGCCGTGGCTGCGGCTGTGAAGGGTCCCGCCCCCTCTTCCTGGAGCCCTCCAGCCACAGATCAGGCCTTCCAGCTGCTCCCCCCCCACCACCGCCTGCTCAAGAAACAACCAATCAGGGACCCAGGATGAGCAAACTGGGGGAAGAAGAGGGGCCTCAACCTCACTGGTTTTGCCTTTGGGACATGAGCAGTTAGAAAGGCGAGGCAGGCAGGGAGTGCCTGGGCCCCTAAATCTGTTGTTATCTTTGCCCAAAGAAACGGAAACTCCAGTTAGGCCCAGTGACAGATAAGAAATGAGAACAGGGCCTCCCCTTCCCTCAGGGAAAGGGTGTGTTGACAGAGACCAACAAGCCCTAACCTGCATTCTCTCCCAGCACAGGAGAAAATAACAGTACTACCAGCTAACACTTGGGCTCTTTTCTATGAGTTTCCGTACAAATTCACATAATTCTCACAACAACCCCTTGGACAGAGTTAAGTCTCATTGTCTTCAGTAGGTTCTGTGACTTTAAGCGAAACCAGTTTTACCACAGGCTAATTGATATAAACAAGAGTTAAGTCTCTAGGGCATCTCATCAACATAACAAGGACCTGCTGTACTAATATGATTAGCATACCCAGTTTGCAGATGGAGAAAATGAGGCACAAAGGTTCATCAATCTGCTGAAGGCCTAGAGCTGGTAAGTGGTCAAGTGGGGATTCAAAGCCAGACAACTCCTTTCAAATATGCATCCTTTTAGTAATGACAACCATGCCCCCTAATTTTGGTACAGTAACTCATAGTTTATAAGGTGTGTTTCACATGTATCTGCCTGTCCTCCTTCCTTCAGTTAATATTTGAGTGCCTAAGTACCTGGCATTGTACTAGGTCCCAAAAAGGGATCACCTGGTCCTCTCAACCCCATGAAGAAGAGAGAAATGCTAAGGATGTTCTCATTCTCATATGGGGAAACGGATGCTTAAGGTTATGCATAGCTTGCCCAAAGCCAGTGGTTTTCAAACCCTACAACGCACGTAAAAAATAAAATATACATATATACATACAACAAACCACAAGTTTCATGATATGGTACTTATTATGTGATACATGCTGATATTTTCTTTCTCATTTGTAAAATGGTGGTTCTCACTAGTGGTCAAGGTGCACAGTTTGTAAAACAGTGAAATATGTCTGCTATTAATGGCGAGGCGAGTCTCGTCTCGCCCTAGTTCTGCCCCAAACCCGAGTCTTCATGTATCTGCCATACTGCCCCTCACTTGAAAACATTACTGTGCATTCCAATAAACTCCTGGTGAGATTTATCACAAACTTAGTCCACCCCTGACTATATCTTCCTGTCCCCAGGGGTTCAACAGTTATTCCTTGGCTACTATAATGCCACGTCCCCTGGAACACTGGGCGACATCTCCTAAGTACATAAATGTGCATCTTACAATTCTTGTAAGAAAGAGTTTCTACTGATCTGCATCTACATTTCTTATTGCTCCTTTTTTTGGTATCACATCTCAGGCTGCAAAACACCCATCAGAGAACTTCACGTGTCACAGTCACTGCATAATCTCCAGGCGCATCTAATAATGCGCCTTCTTCAAAGGAAGAAACATCTTACATCTGTGTCACGCTTTTACCTTTTGAAAACATTTTTACAGTATCCCCCTCCCAATCTGATTCTCACAACAATGCTTCCATCTTGGAGAGGAAACCGAGGCACCTTCACAAAAGGCTGGGGTTGGTCTAACTCCTCAGAGCTCTGGCGTGTCTCAAAACGGAGGAGAGAAAGCCCTTCCACCTCACATTTCCTGCCACAGGGCCTTGGGATGGCGCAAATGGTTCACTATTGCAGGAAGGAGGAAGGACCGGGCCCAGCAATGACAGAGAGATCTCAACTCGACTGACTGAGAGAGGCTCCCAGGGTCCAGTGTGGAAGCGGCAGCTAGACCCCCACCTGGACAGATCGATCAGTAACGCCTGTGCCACAGTCGTGGGTGATGGGGGGTTTGCCACCCTCAACCTACTTGCGCTTCTCCTCTTGCCTGCCCGGCAATGACCCCCGCTGCCTGACGCCAAGCTGTAAGCAGAGGGGTGCCACAGACTCCGCCCGCAAAGAAGGACCGGCTCAGGCCCCCCTTCCCTTCCCACTCCAAAAGCAGTCTAGGAGCGTGACAAGGTGCAACAGGGGGCCCGAAAGGCCCCAGAGCATACACTCACCAGCAACAGGGCCTCCAGCTGGTTAATATAGATCTCTTCGCTGGCCAGGAACCCTGAGAGGACCAGCTTTCTCATCTCCAGGCCTTTTCCTGCTTCCACCTGCACAAACAAAAGCCAACAGCGCGTGAGAAAGGGGCCGGAATCCTGAGGGGTCTCTTCTCTTGCCTTTTCTCTCTTCTTTAACTAACACTTTTGTAGGGACTAAGTGCCAAATGTACTTTGTACAGAAGATGTGGCAAATACAGAAATATAAAGGGAAAAACAATCACCATACTCCTACACTAACTTCTTGCTTTGTTTCTCTCTCATGCGTTTTCCCACATCTCCTTAGGTGATGCCCATCCACCCACCCACCCACCTATTCAACCTTGTAAAAGTGAGCAGCGTAACAAAGGGCCTGGCCTCTTGTGGGGTGGCGGTGGTTTAAGGGGTGGACACAGTTAAGAAGGGAAATCAGAGTCATGACTGAGGCAGGGCCTGGTCACTGGGAGGGCACCGCAGGGGCAGGAGGGGGCTCCCAGAGGGAGTGATCTGTAAACTGAGAGCAGGGGTAGAAAGAATGGCATGAAAGTGGCCATGGGAAGCCCAGCTGTGGGGCCTTTTAGCTGCACCTCTGACTATATATTCTCCTGTACCCATGGGTTCAAATTCACAATGAAAAGTGCTAGCTGTGGCCCTGGCTGGGCAGCTCAGTTGGTCGGAGTGTCGTTCCACGCACCAGAAGGTTGCAGGTTTGATTCTCGGTCAGGGCGCATAGCTAGGTTGTGGGTTTGATACCCCGTCAGGATGCATATGAGGCAACCGGCAACCATTCGATATTTCTCGCTCACATCAATGTTTCTCTCTCTCTCTCTTGAAATCAATGAAAACATATCCTCAGGTGAGGATTAAAAGTAATAATAATAATAATAAATAAAAGAAAGGTGCTAGCTGTGGGGCTCTCAATCTTAACCTTGCAACCCCCATCGTTTCCTAACTGCCTCATTTTGTAAGGCACAGACCCCAACTGACCTCCTCCCCACTCCCACCTCTCCCCCATGGTGGAGATCATGCCTCATTTAGCTCTAAATGTCCATCTTGCTTGGACATTCTTACCAAGACTCTTCCCTTCTGTTCCACTCCTCCCCTCTGCGGAGTCAAGGCCCACAGCATCCCACCCTGCTGGCCGATTCTTCTAACTGACCTCTGCCTCTCTCTCCCCCCTCCACTCACACACCAGAGCCAGATCAATCTTCTGAGTACACCACCTTCCACCTGGTGTTTGTCAAGGACTTAAATCTGTACAGCAACATGTGATCATCTGGGGATTCAGTTAGGTTATTCGTTCACTCATTCATTCATTCATTCAACAGGTAGTTACTGAATGCCCACCAGACCCTGTAGATACAACAGGAAACAAGCATACAGTAGTCCCATGTGGCTTATAATCCGGTGGGAGAAAAAGACATTAAAAAACAAACAAAAAACCCCACACAGGTAAATATAAATAGTGATACGGGGCCCAGCTTATTCACTTCAACACTTTCAGTGGCTCCCAGTGCCTCTCCCTACCCTTTTAATCTCCCCACAGCCATCAGATCTGTCTTCCCAACATGCCAGGGGGTTCCAGCCTCTGAACTTTGGTTCTTGTTACCCCTGCTGCCTCAAATGCCTCGTCCTGCCCTGGCTCTTCTTTCATCCCACCTCTCCTTGGAGGCACAGCTGAAGTCTCTGGCCTGCAGTGTCAGCTCTCATGTTGGGGTCTGCGCCACTGACCTTTGCACCCGATGATCTCATGACCTGCCCATTGATTTCGAGGGCTTTTGAAGTACCTGCACCACACTCCCGTGCACTTCCCTGGAGCCCAGTCCTGAGTGATACCCCTAACACTAACAGGTGGGCACCGAAGGCTCATTAAAGCTTCTAAGTCCTTTCCACTCTCTCATTGGGCCTTCAAATGCCTCCTGCAGGTGGGTACTATATTTCTTCTTCATACAAATGGAAACAAATGAGACTTAAAAGAGGGAAAGGACTAGTCTAGGGTCACACAGCCACGAAGTGGCTGAGCTGGAATTTGACCCCAGGCCTGGAACACCATATTCGGTGCTATTCCACTGCTCTGGTAATGTCCTCACTCTCGTGTTCTTTTTTCAAGCATGGGATGCTTACCTGGGATCTCAAACAGAGCCCTCTCTGGGCCTCAAATGCACACCCTGAGCATAGTCTGGGAGAGCGTGTGAAACCATCAGAAATTTCCCAAGTCCCGAGAAGCCGTGGCTTTGCCCCAGCTGCTTTCCCTGCCCTGGCTGCGCTCACAAGCTCGCCCACCCTTTCCACAGGTGAGAGAGAAACTTGATTCTTGGCCTCCCGTTAGCAAGCTAGTTAGGCAAGCTGGTTAGGCGGTCTGTGCTGGAGGCTGCTGCCCCACCCCCACCCCACCCCTGAAGGTATCTGACCCTGTGATAGAACAATAACGTCTTACCAAAGAGGTCCACCCCCAAGCCCCCAAACCTGTGAATATGTTATCTTCTATGGCAAAAGGGATTTGGCAGGTATACTTAAGGATTTTTAGATGGGGAGATTATCCTGGACTATCTGGGTAGACCCCATGTATCACAAGGGTCCTGTGAGAGGCAGGCAAGAGGGTCAGAGAAAAGGTGATGTGACCACAAGGAGAGGGGAGGGGAGGGAGAGGTTGACCACAGGCCTGGAAGATGCTACACTGCTACTCTGAAGACATTCCATGAGCCAAGGATACAGCAGGCGTCTAGAAGCTGGAAAAGGCACGGAACCGGATTCTCTCCCCCAGGGCTCCAGAAGGAAGGCAGCCCAGCTGACCCTTGTAGACTGTGTGTGAGTGAATAAATGTGTTGTTTTAAGCTACTGACTGTGTGGTAATTTGTTTCTGTGGCATTAGGAAACTAGTGAGGACGCCAAACTTTAGGGAAGGACAACAGTTGCTTATCGATGGCTTCACAAGTACCAGGCCCTGTTCTAAGTGCTTTCCATGGATTAACTCACTGAAATCCCACAATCTGGAAGGTGTTATCCGTCTCCCGAGTCACAGAGAGTGGAAGCTGCCCACTGCCCAGAGCTGTCTGCATGGCAGGTGGGCAGCACCTCCTCCAGAACAAGATCAGAGCTTGAAGCACAGCCCCAGCCCCGCCTGCCCCTCGGGGTCGGACCCGGGGTGGCCCCCTGCACGTCACACAGACCCTGCTGCTTCCCAGGCCAGACAAATGGGAACTCTCCCTCTGTGCTGGGGGCCAGCGGGCCCCTGCCGCACCCCTCCCCCTCCCATTCCCTGCCAACCAAGGGTTTGTCTGAGGGCTTGGAAGTCACTTGGGGAACACTGGGAGCTTAACTGGAAAGCTGGGTGGCCTAGGACCAGGGTGAAGACCTGGTGATTCGCAGCCCCCGCCGCCAAGCTGTCACCCACACTGGCGTGAGCCAGACCCCGGTGTCGGCCCAATTCAGCAAGACCCATTCCCTAAGAGACTCCCACCTCAGAGTCCAATCTCAAAAGGGCTCCCCAAAAGGGATTAAGGAGTCACCCCTGAGAGTCCCCACTCGGGGGGGCCACATTCACTTTGAAGTTTGCCCTGGCGTGAGGGTGGAAGTGATGTGAAATTAAATTCTGTGCATTTTACCACAGGAGGCCTGTTCTGTTACCATCAAAAACCTCTTCCATCTTTTCTTTGCTTTCCTCAGACCCCACATGCTCCTGGTTTAGAATTATCTGGAAATTCACAATTGTTTCTTGACTCTTTGTGGGGCTATTCTTTTAAAAAATTTTTAAAATTGATTTTAGAGAGAGAGAGGAAAGGAGGGAGAAAAACAATGATTTGTTGTTCCACTTATTTATGCATTCATTGTTTTTTGTTTTTTTTAATTCTCACCTGAGGATATGTTTTTACTGATTTTTTAGAAAGAGAGAAATATCAATCAGCTGCACCCCCCCTCCCCNTAATTCTCACCTGAGGATATGTTTTTACTGATTTTTTAGAAAGAGAGAAATATCAATCAGCTGCACCCCCCCACACACACACACTCCCCTACTGGGGATTGAACCTGCAACCCAGACATGTACCCTGACCAGGAACCTAACTACAACCTTTTTTTTTGGTGTGTGGGAAGACGCTTCAACCAAATTAAGCCACCTGGCCAGGGCTCATTGGTTGATTCTTGTATGTGCCCTGACTGGGAACTGAACCCACAACCTTGGCGTATTGAGACGACGCTCTAACCAACTGGGCTACCCAGCCAGGGCCCTTGTGGGGGCTCTTCTTATCTCATAAAATGCCAGGACTGAACATAAGCTCATGCACACCTCACTAGGTGCCAGGCACTGGGAATACAAGTGAGGGAGACAGTCTGTTCCAAAGAGCCCTCCAGAGGTGCCCACGTGCCCAGAATTCCCAGGGCGAGTTCTCTAAAGAGTTCAGGGTCCCCCAGCACAGGAAAGCTGCCTTCTCAGTGACACCATCCCCACTTCCTCCCCAAGGGAAGCTTATGAAATGCAGCCACGGTGGGCTCCTTCATCCCCAGCACTTTACACAATCTGCCAGTCTCAAAGTCTGTCAGCTTGAGGCCCCCAAATCCAAGAGGTCAAGTCACTCTGGTAGGGACATTATCAACACGTGAGGCTTGGCTAGCTCTCTGGCCCAGTCTACTACAGTAGGGACTAAAAATAGCCTCCAAAGGGTTGGTTCTAGGCCAAGCCCAGACACAATCTGTCCAGGAGCTTTGATCTCCTCCAAGACAACAATGAGGACTGAAGAGGCAGAGCCGCCTCTGATTCAGAACCTTAGGTCAAGCAGCTCCACATCAGCAGAATTCAGCTCATGAGCCACACCAGTTTCCAAGGAGGACCCAGAGGGGTCTGCTGCTCAGAGCAGATGCCACTGGGCCTAGGGGTCGTGTCCATGTCAAGCCTCAGCCTCAGGTCAGCTGGCCTTTCTCTGAGTTGAGACATCCACCACTCTCTCCTCAGCGCTAGGCACTGGGGAGGAGTCTGTCAGCATATAACTCAGCAGAATAAAGAGCAGAGAGGACTGGGGCAACTGCTGGGGACACACAAAGCCCAAATTCCACTCCTAAGGGTGGATCCCCGTATTCTG